TTCATTTCTTCAATGTGCAGGGAGTAACACTAACCGTACAGATTAGCAAACTGACAAAAGTACTTGAAAGAAACTGTAAACACTTCAACAGTCTAAAGTCTAGTTAGTCCAGTTACTATAGTAGATCAAGTTTTTAAATCAGTAACAAAAGAACCATCACAGGTTTGTCAAATTCTGTTTCCAAGCAATTCGCAATTAATTTCTCACTTATTATATTTCTGATCATCAGCTTAAACATTTACAAGATGAAGAGTTCACTGCTGTCAAAGCATAAGATAGGACAGTCTCTCAGAGCTACTGAGGGCTTCTTTCTTAGAAGAGCCTAAAAAGCTGAAAATAACACACAGAAATAAAAACCTGTAGTTCAGTGCTACAACACCAATAGATTGTTCTTCTACATTAAGATTTCTCTTTTTACAGCTGTGGAATGTGTTTAAAGAGTCAGCATTTCCACTGTCTCATCGAAGTCCCGACCAGCTGTGGAGGTACGAAGCCCACCCAGAGGGCCGTGAGGAACTCTCTTCCTCACCTGAAGGAGAAAGAAAAACATACTTTAAACTAAGTTTATTATGTTAGACATTGCATCATTTGGCGACATGACCCATTGCCACCCCCCACCTCTGTCCTTTTACAAAGGCTGTCCTCGTAAACTTGTTGAGGAGGTAACACTCAATATTCATTCTTGGGCTGCCATAGATGTATTCATGGATTTTATCACCAAGTTCACTTTGCTTTCAGTACTTTAAGGATGTTTAAAGAGGCTATTTATCACCTTTCGCCAGAGAAATCGAATTGGTGTTCACTAGAATGCCACAAGTACATCAAAATGCTATGGACTTAATTTACATCTCAACTTTCCAAATGCAAAGCCTAGTGTGAAAAACAGTACTTTGCCACTCTTTGCATTCATGTGATTTTGTTTACAACTTTTAAGAGCTTATATATACACATGGGACTTACTCTTTATATTAATTTTAAAATAAAGTATAGGTCAGTTGCTAATGAAGTGCAAGCAGCTGTAGGTTGTTATTGATGAGTGACAAATAATGCCTTGAGAAGTGTTTCTAAGGGGACAAACACTCAAAGAGAGTATTTGAAGCAGAGACAGAACACTATTATTCAATCAGCTCGAGTTAATTTCTTGCAAAGACTTAACTCCTTTTCTTTCCTTCCCTAGTTGCTTTATTTCTGAAACAAGAAGTATATTATCTTGAAGATATTTTAAAAGTTAATGTACTGAAACTAATATTAAAGTCTGCAGTACTGCCTTGAGAGGACCGCTTTATCTTTTCAGAACATCTGCCAAGAAAGTAATTAACTTATGGTAACCTCTATTTTAAGGTTGTTTTGACAGAAATCTTTAACTCTACTCAAAATGTAAACACACTATGTTTTTACAACTTACTATCATCTTCCTAAATGTGTATGTTTCAGAAGAAATTACATTTTATTTACATTTTTGAGTATTTGTCCTGTTTTCTGAAAACTGAATACTAACTTCCCAACAGAGCAAAAGGTTTTAGAAGGTTTTAGTTTTAGTGCTAGCTCACTGGCATTATGCTGCTAAGCTTTGTTTCTCCTCAAAGGTCTACGTAAAAGCACAGAACTTCAGTTGCCTTTATTTCCACTTTTTCCTTTTTTTTTTGCAACAGAGTTTTGACCACAACCTACCTTGGGCAATTGCAACGAGTTTCCCCTTCTCTTCAGGGCTGAGCTGCAACATGGTGTCTATTACTGGGAGCAGCCTTTCCTTTTCGCTTCCTGATTTTAGAAATATGAACTGCAATAGCACATTCTTCAAGTATTCTAGATTAGCCACAGATTTTTCTCTCTCTTGATTTCTTTCCAACCTTCGTATTTCATTCTTAAGAAGCTGCAGATGAGGGGAAAAAAAAATGCAATATTGTTTGCTTCATATAATGAGCAATTGAACAAAGGTCTTTTGAAGAGCTAAAATCGAATTATGCAGCTTGCTTCAATAAGAACAATGCGTGCATAGCAACACACCCTGGACTAAAATCCAGTGAAACTTGAACACTGATAAAGTTGTTTATAGTGTTTATTAATGCTATTATTATATTGATAATATATATATAGCATATAACATATATACTATTATAAAAATCTGTCCAGTAGTTATAAGGAGTAAGAGTTGAACAGTTAAATAAGCAATGTGGATCCAAGTTTTAACAATATTAGCATTCATTAAGAAACATTTAACAAAAGAAAGCTTAGCATGTTTAGAGAATATGTTAACTTCAAAAATGTTTTAGGAAAACTCAGGAAGTTACAACCAAATTAAACTTAACTCTTCTAGTACACGTATCTCTAAACATGTATCTTCTTTTAACTTAAGAGCACTAAAAGGGGTTACAGAAAGAGAAACCAGACAATACTTCCCTTGGGATTTACTGTTTTTATGTAAGTGAAAACAGTAAAGGCACTTTACTAAACATTAAACTTCTAAACTCTTGAGGTTTTCGTTTGCAGCAGCTTTTACTCTCCCCTCGGCCCCCAACTAGAAACCATGAGGAATAAACTGAAAATACTGAAGTCAACTCTGGAAGTGCTAATTAGTCCTGTGGAGTAAAAACCCTTCCAAATTACAAGTTTTGCACCACCAAATTTTTATAGACTGGGATTTTCTGAAATATATTTAAACAGTTGGTCTAATAAACAGACCATGGAAATTAGAGCTGTCCCCATATATCCTGGATGTCTGCTAACCTTTATTTGTTCCATGAGGATTGCATTAGTTGCTTCTGATTCCCGAAGTAATTCATTCAAGTGATCAGCACTCTTTGCTGTTGTGTTTAGTTTCTGAATCAGCTCATCCTTAGTGAGTTCTGCTTGCCACTGGGATGGTTCTACAATTAATTGGAAAAGAAAACTGAGAGAAGGAAAAGCACTTAGACTACTGTATACTAACCAAACATTAGGACTTGATTAATGTAGATTCTTAGAAACAAAATCGCTGCAAAGTCAGACTGCAAAAACTAACAAGCATCATTGCTGCTGCTGCATGCTTGTTTTGTGATCTATTTTTGTGCAAAAGGTTTTAGAAGGTTTTAGTTTTAGTGCTAGCTCACTGGCATTATGCTGCTAAGCTTTGGAAAATGGTTTTAGTGCTAGCTCACTGGCATTATGCTGCTAAGCTTTGTTTCTCCTCAAAGGTCTACGTAAAAGCACAGAACTTCAGTTGCCTTTATTTCCACTTTTCCTTTTTTTTTGCAACAGAGTTTTGACCACAACCTACCTTGGGCAATTGCAACGAGTTTCCCCTTCTCTTCAGGGCTGAGCTGCAACATGGTGTCTATTACTGGGAGCAGCCTTTCCTTTTCGCTTCCTGATTTTAGAAATATGAACTGCAATAGCACATTCTTCAAGTATTCTAGATTAGCCACAGATTTTTCTCTCTCTTGATTTCTTTCCAACCTTCGTATTTCATTCTTAAGAAGCTGCAGATGAGGGGAAAAAAATGCAGTATTGTTTGCTTCATATAATGAGCAATTGAACAAAGGTCTTTTGAAAAGCTAAAATCGAATTATGCAGCTTGCTTCAATAAGAACAATACGTGCATAGCAACACACCCTGGACTAAAATCCAGTGAAATTTGAACACTGATAAAGCTGTCCAGAAATGATGTTTATTAATGCTATTATTATACAGATAATATAGATAGCATATAACATATATACTATTATTATAAAAATCTGTCTAGTAGTTATAAGGAGTAAGAGTTGAACAGTTAAATAAGTAATGTGGATCCAAGTTTTACCAATATTAGCATTCATTAAGAAACATTTAACAAAAGAAAGCTTAGCATGTTTAGAGAATATGTTACCTTCAAAAAAAACTTACATTTACTAAAAGAGTTATCTCTAAACATGTATCTTCTTTTAACTTAACTTCAAAAATGTTTTAGGAAAACTCAGGAAGTTACAACCAAATTAAACTTAACTCTTCTAGTACACGTATCTCTAAACATGTATCTTCTTTTAACTTAAGAGCACTAAAAGGGGTTACAGGAAGAGAAACCAGACAATACTTTCCTTTGGATTTACTGTTTTTATTTAAGTGAAAACAGTAAAGGCACTTTACTAAACATTAAACTTCTAAACTCTTGAGGTTTTCGTTTGCAGCAGCTTTTACTCTCCCCTCGGCCCCCAACTAGAAACCATGAGGAATAAACTGAAAATACTGAAGTCAACTCTGGAAGTGCTAATTAGTCCTGTGGAGTAAAAACCCTTCCAAATTACAAGTTTTGCACCACCAAATTTTTATAGACTGGGATTTTCTGAAATATATTTAAACAGTTGGTCTAATAAACAGACCATGGAAATTAGAGCTGTCCCCATATATCCTGGATGTCTGCTAACCTTTATTTGTTCCATGAGGATTGCATTAGTTGCTTCTGATTCCCGAAGTAATTCATTCAAGTGATCAGCACTCTTTGCTGTTGTGTTTAGTTTCTGAATCAGCTCATCCTTAGTGAGTTCTGCTTGCCACTGGGATGGTTCTACAATTAATTGGAAAAGAAAACTGAGAGAAGGAAAAGCACTTAGACTACTGTATACTAACCAAACATTAGGACTTGATTAATGTAGATTCTTAGAAACAAAATCGCTGCAAAGTCAGACTGCAAAAACTAACAAGCATCATTGCTGCACTTTACTAAACATTAAACTTCTAAACTCTTGAGGTTTTCCTTTGCAGCAGCTTTTACTCTCCCCTCGGCCCCCAACTAGAAACCATGAGGAATAAACTGAAAATACTGAAGTCAACTCTGGAAGTGCTAATTAGTCCTGTGGAGTAAAAACCCTTCCAAAATACAGGTTTTGAACCAGCACATTTTTATAGACTGGGATTTTCTGAAATATATTTAGTGTTAAACAGTTGGTCTAATAAACAGACCACGGAAATTAGAGCTGTCCCCATATATCCTGGATGTCTGCTAACCTTTATTTGTTCCATGAGGATTGCATTAGTTGCTTCTGATTCCCGAAGTAATTCATTCAAGTGATCAGCACTCTTTGCTGTTGTGTTTAGTTTCTGAATCAGCTCATCCTTAGTGAGTTCTGCTTGCCACTGGGATGGTTCTACAATTAATTGGAAAAGAAAACTGAGAGAAGGAAAAGCACTTAGACTACTGTATACTAACCAAACATTAGGACTTGATTAATGTAGATTCTTAGAAATTAAATCGCTGCAAAGTCAGACTGCAAAAACTAACAAGCATCATTGCTGTGCTGCATGCTTGTTTTGTGATCTATTTTTGTGTATGTAAGTATATTAGAAGGGGATTGGCAAATCAGTTATAAGTACGTCAAGATACATGGTTTTAATTTACCCCTTGTTTCCTACCCATAGATGGAGATTTTCAACAGTTCTCCACAAAGGGTTCAATAGACTTTTAAAACATAATTAGATGCTACCATTTATTTTTCCACTTTTGGGGGACACTTAGAACATCGTTCTTCATGCTAGCTTTTGTTTCCCTAGAAAAAAACCTATGAATCAATAACCATTCTGATAGGCTACATTAAGATGAACATACATTTTATCACTTCATTAATGAGAGTTAAATCAGCACTTAATTGTTTCTAGTAGAGACTGGTCCAGAATACAAAAAGTTCTGCAACTATTCATTGACTAGCTCATCCTGCCTTTTCCCTATAGAAAGTCACAAATACAACATCTCTAAATCACTTGACTCTTAAGTAGACTCGTGTCTTGTGCTTGAAATAATGCAAACACGATGATCTCAGATATTTTGAGGGCACAAACTTCTACAACTTATGTAGGCAAGTGCTTCAAAAAGCCATGTGTTCCACCTACCAAGTTTTGCTTCTGGGGAGTTCAGAAGTTGTTCCAAGGATGGTACGTAGGTGCTGGCTGAAGAGACAGATTCTGTGTCCGTTGTTTCCATACCTTCTCCCTCTTCCCTAGCTACAGTGTGCACATCGAGAACAGGAAGGTCAGTGTTTCGTCGTTCTCTTAAGTTCTTCATTGCTGGATTTGAAACAGCTGGACCTGAAAGATACTCACTGATGTTTGTCACTGAAAGATACTTACTGGTGTTTGTCATCAGAATGAAATTGGTAGAGCTACTTCACAGGCGTGACCGTTTCAGATTGGAAAGCAGTACATAAAATAGTCTTCAAAAAGCAGGGGAGGAAAGGTGAAGGAAAGAAAGCCAGATACACACACATAACATTTAAAATAGAAAATCCAGCCTTTCACTTCCAAATGACCATTCCAATCACAGCCTGTTTCTAAATCCAAATTTGATTGGCAATTATTATTTCAGCAACTATGAAACCTTTGTTCAACTCTCCCCAAAGATGTGTCATAGCTACGACAAGAGTGTCAAATGTTTTTCCATGCAAAACAGAATTAGCTTTTCTTTCAACCAGTCCTGCAGCAGGTGTAGATCGTTCTGTTTTAACACTGCATGCACTATCCTGCTGCTTCAGTAACATATGGAAAAAAGTAACTTCTTAAACCGTTACTGCTGTTTGGCAAACATCCAGTTACACCTTAATTAGTAACTTTACAGACATAAAAATAGCACGTGAGCTTGAACCCAGTAAAATCTTAAATTAGAAGAAGGATCACATAGCAAGTATACCAATAACAGCGATTGTTAAAATAGCTTTCAGTACACTTTTCTTTACTCCTTATACTGGAGGCAGAGGCCCAGTATGATCCAAAATATGAGACAAACTAATAGGAAGAGCACTGAATATTTACAAATTCATTTCCCTGCATCTGTCCGCCAATGCAGGTACTGCAGAAGAGATAAACAGTGATGCAGATTCTGGAATGTAACAGAATAGTTCCAGCTGGAAGGGACTTAAAATGATCATCTAGTCTAACCACCTGACCACTTCAGGGCTGACCAAAAGTGTTCCTTACTCGGTATCAGTGGATTGATAGGGCATGCTGCAAATTCTCCAGAAAAAGTTTCTAATGTATTACAGAACCACACACCATTAACATGTTTTAGATTCAGACTCAGGCACACAAAATTGTATCCAACCCAAGAAAACCTGGTGTTACAACTGCAAATTACCTTTTGTGCTTGGTTCATTTCTGAGTTGGAAGAGCTGAACCTCTACTCTGGACAGTTGCTGCTGAAGTGTCTCTACTGTCTTCCTGTGCTCTTCTTGCAGGTTCCTGACCTGATCTCTGAAATTGTTCCGGAGAGCTTCATTCTGGGCTGACAGCTGACTCAAAGCCTGGGCATGCTCTGTTTTCATGACCATGTTCTCAGATTGTATTGTGCAAAGTCTGAAAACAGAGGATACACAAAACATAAGAAATGAACAGCAAACAGTCATTTTTACATTTCAATATTTTTAAAGGACTTTTCAATTTGCATGTACATGACTACCTTAGAATGACCATGTAACTTTTTTCCATTTCAATTCCTCTTTTTAGAGCGAAAAATCTAAGACTGAGAAAGTAATACTTATTCCCTATCCTGTGAATGCACTGTGCCATTATAAACTCTTGATTTCTATTTCAGAACACAAAATCCAGGCATCTTTGCGAAAAAATGGAAGCATTAGAGACACTGGATTCTAAACATTCTTAAATTAAAAAACTGTAATATTTTGTACAGGGCACGTCACTTACCTTATACTCTAATTCCTTCAACGTTTATTTACCAAACACTTATGCAGGACTTCCGAAAACATACGTTTTCACGAAGCTAGGTTTAATTTAATTTTTTTAAGCTTCAACTTCCAGTGCAAAAAAGGGCAGAATAGTGCAGTTGTTAGCAAGAAAAATGTCAGTAACGCACCAATTGTACTTGGCTTGGAGGTATTCCAGAAGCAAGACAAAACTGTCACAAGCAACAAGTGCATGTATGGAAAGACTAAGCATTGGACTTGCCCTTATAAGCATACAAATTTAAATATAGCCAGAGTAGCAAGGAGCTAGTCTCTCTGGGTACTAAGGGAACCTACTGTGATATGGGTTGTTTCCAGAAAAATGCAGAATGAAATAAATTTAGTTAATTAACATGAACTATCACGTGGCTATCAAGAAAAGATAAAACAGAACAAAAACAGAGACAAGAAGTCAACAGTTCCTAATACTACACTGTAATTTCTAATGAATATTTCACGTGAACTTCTTTGTACCCTAAATAGAGAAGAAAAGGAAAGACCCTTTTTGAAGAGCTCAATTATGCGATTTTTCAAGAAGTGATACAGATTAAACAGACTGAATTTGAAAATACTGAAAATATGTTGAAATTTGTTTGAAAATATTCAAAATATATTTTGAAAGAAATAGCAGATTAAGGTTGTGGCAAGCATAGACTTAAAAACCAGTACTTTCTGCAAGAAAGGTGGGTGCAGGACTGAATATTTTGTTTGCTCTGCATTTAACTACCTTATTTTTCTAATAGGAAACATCCCATAAAATTTAGTTGAGCAGTTCAACACATACATAGTGCTGAGTATTGGATTTAAAAACAGTCAACTTGCTTAAAAAATGTTAATTTTAAAATCTGATAGTTAACAGGTAGAAAGCTTGCAGAAATCTCAAATTCCCTGATCAGTAACTACTTCGTTTTCATTGTTGAAAGTTCTGAAGGCTGATGAAAAATAGCAAACAATCCTTCTGAAAGTTCCTTTAACTTTCTCAAGAGTTGTCCCGTTTCTTTGGGAAGTATAGTTATAGACCACTACATGCCCAGCCCTTAAAGGTCACCCAAAATAAATATGTATATTCCTCAGCAGGCCATACTTTTCACGGAGTTCTGCCTCTTTTGCAACAGTCTCTTGCAGCATCTTATTGTGCCTTTCCAGCAGGGTGTCGTGTTCAGATTGCAATGCCTGGAGTTCAGATGCATTCATCTGCGAGTTATGCTGAGCATCTTGCAGCTTAACTTTAAGTTGATCTATCACCATTTCCAACTGCTCTCTACAAGGGGAACAAAGAAATAAACATCATACATTTTAGAAGAACTGTATTATTTCAGAACCTATAATACACCTACAACATTTTGGATAGCTGATCTAAATTGCTTATTTATTACTTAAATTAATGTATCACCATGACCAAAAAGAAAATAAATCTTAGAATGTGACTGCAACAGAAGCAATTAGGAAAGTTCTGTCAGCATTTCAATATATAAATATAAATATACCACACCTCATCTGAACTGCTTTGATCTATTTATTACTTAAATCAATGTATCACCATGACCAAAAAGAAAATAAATCTTAGAATGTGACTGCAACAGAAGCAATTAGGAAAGTTCTGTCAGCATTTCAATATATAAATATAAATATACCACACCTCATCTGAACTGCTTGGAACTTAACTATTGGGGTAGAAAGTGCAACTGCTACCACTTTCTACTTCAAGCTTGTTTGGAGGAACAACAATTAGGAAAGTTCTGAAAACGTTTCAATATAGGTACAAATAAATTTACCGCACCTCATCTGAACTGCTGGGAACTTAACTATTGGGGTAGAAAGTGCAACTGCTACCACTTTCTACTTCAAGCTTGTTTGGAGGAACAAGACAGGAGGAGAATAATATGTGATGGAGAAACAACTTCTTAAAAGTGGTGGAAGTTGCTTTTTTGTTTATTAAATGCACATCAGTTCAGTGAAAGTAAATACAGGAGACAAATGGCTGGAGGAGATTTTGAGCAAAGGACTAGAAAGCAACATCAGTCCATAAAAACAGATGAACTGAAGGTCAGAAATAAATCAAAATCAGATACACCAGGAGGAAAAAGTCTCACATTCTCCTTTTACGCTTTCTGTATTTATATATGCAGACATCTCTGTTATCTCATGAACTGTGTATTTCTTTAATTCTTAGAGTTGATACTTGTAAATCATTTTTTGATAACTATGTCATCTGTTTCTTGCTTGATTACTTGTCCACTGTTTCCAAAGCGACCCTCTTTCACAAAAACCTAACAATACCAGAACTTCTTAAAATTCTGAGAAAAGGAGAGACAAAAAATGCAGCTCTTGCAGTTTGCTTGCTTCAAAGAAAAGACGGGGTAGATGTATTTAAAACCACACACAAAGCACGAAACAAAAGTCCTCTAACAAAGCAGAAGTCTCCCTCTGGTGGATTTTCAGCGGCAATTGCACGTACTCAGTGTCAGAAATGTGTCAGAAATGACTTGACATCTCACAGATAAATGTCTGGTCTGTCACCAAGGACAGCTATCAATAATTTATGAAAATAACTCAGAGAAACTGATCTACTTTTGAAGTGCATTCAGCCATTTTCTGAAGTGAATCTGAATTTACCTGGCTTACATCTATACTTAAATGATTTTCAGGAAACTTCTGGCAGTGTAACTTTTTTTTTTTTTTTTTCTCCAAGTCTTTCCTCATATAACAGCTGATAAGACAAGAGTATTTCATAAATATGCTGGGGCTGATGACTGAATTGGCAGCCAGAGCCTTACGTATATTAAACCATTCCTTCCTGAAAAAGTTCAAAGTGAGCTCAGCTGAACGGTACCAATCTGCTCTCTTCTTCTTAGTTGGAAATGGTACTTTGCTGCAATAGTTTATGTCAGAGAAAATGACGTATCAAGTTTACACAAAACATGCTGGGTAATTTCTGCTCGTAAGAATCACAAGAATCTTCCTAACACCTTACTTCTCCCTCTGACTGTAACAACAGGTAATCTACA